ACCAATTAAGTGCTATAGTAATACGCCATATCGTAAAAGTTTCACTGTACATGATTGTAAAGTACTAGCGGGTAATCGAAAGGAAGCGACAATAGAAAGAAAATCCCCGAATTGGGAATTACTTTTCGAAAGTGTACAGTTGTGAATGTTTTTCATTTCCATTCGCCCTGTTTACAAAATTGCCTATTATGCTTTGAGTAATTTTAATCGGTCTAGCTACCGTTTCCTCCCTGCAATTTATCAATCATTATTATTTCCTATACGCGTATACTCTGTTGAATGGAGGGCAAAATAACGGTTTAACACCACTGCTCGCCTGCTCGTTTTACGAAACATAATGAAAAGCCATTTTCATAAATTTACATTCGTGTTTATATAACGTATATAAATAATTTTAAGGACATTGATAAATGCCATTTCCGGAAGGTTTCCATTACATTGTTCTGGCTTACCAACTTTACTCATAACATGCAAAATGGTTTTTAACTGAGAGCATACATCAACGGTGATCAATGTGACTCCTTAATTAAATTGTCACCTAACAATAAGCAAGAAATTACTAAGGTATCACTAATTTTCTTTTCGGGACATTTTCACGACGATAGAAATTTTTCAGAATGAAAGTGCAGTCAAAGATCATGATCATCTTATGGGATTTATAGAGGACTAGGTCATCAAGATTGCAATTTTAAATAATTCTTCCAGTAGGCCCTTATGGTAATCTTAAAAATTACGTACGATTTTCAAATTGGAACCACTCCAGAATATGAAGATTTCAGAATTTCAGTTGTCATAATATGGATTCAGTAAGTGTGCTCTTGGGGTTTTTCTAATTTAAATTTAACATACCTTTTTAATTTGCTCGGTTTTCTCTCCACGCCTCGAATTTCTCCCATTCTACGATTCTTCAGAAACTGTGCCAACCATTCTGCGATTCTATAGTAGGATTCCGCCAAGAGTCATGTAAGACCAATATTTTTCCACCCTTCTTCCAAAGAATTTTAGCTCTTCCACGTACTTCTACAAATCCATATTTAGTTTTAGCCTTTCCATTCCTGCGATTTTTTCAAATTTTCTCCGATGGTTCTTCAAGTTACCGCAATTTTCCAAAATATTCTCAAGATTCATTCTTTCATCATTTTTTATCTGTGGCAGAGATGTGAATTTCCTTAGATCAGTTTCGAGCATTCTTCCGGTTACTCCGAATTAGGTTTTCCCAATTCGTAAGGTAAATACCGGAGTAGTATATAACAACTTAAGACCGCCTGCAGGGGCACCTCTAAAAACACTATGCGAGTCACTCTGTAATTGGGGAAAGCCCAGAACAAGAGAGGGATAATAATTTAAAAAAACCGTGTGTGGAGAGGGTCATCTTTTACCCCAATGCAATACCCCCCCTGGCTATCGTGCGGGTGGTAAAAATGCTGCCTTTCATTTAAACTTTTTCTAATTTATTTTTTATCTTATTTTTGCATTTATTTTTGAGTGGGCGGAGCTTCAACCAAGGCTGTTTTACCAGCTCAATCCACTATACATTTACAAATATCCATGTCCCACCCCGGATTCGAACCAATGATCTTTAGTACCGCAGTCCATCTTCAACTGGACTGCGCTACAGGGACCGGAATTTCTGTCCGTCCATCTGTGTCCGGACGGAGTGTCTGCTTGTGTACATGAAAACTCGCGAACGTTTTCGAATTTTCCAATTCTATGTTTAGTAATAGGTGGACAATGGTCAAGGGACTAACTGATTAAATTTTGGTCATTTGGACCTTCTTTTATTTATTTTTATTTTATTTTTGCTTTTATTTTTGAGTGGGCGGAGCTTCAACCAAGGCTGTTTTACCAGCTCAATCCACTATACATTTACAAATATCCATGTCCCACCCCGGATTCGAACCAAGGATCTTTAGTACCGCAGTCCAGCTTCAACTGGACTGAGCTACAGGGACCGGAATTTCTGTCCGCCCATCTGTGTCCGGACGAAGTGTCCGCTTGTGTACATGAAAACTCGCGAACGTTTTCGAATTTTCCAATTCTATGTTTAGTAATAGGTGGACAATGGTCAAGGGACTAACTGATTAAATTTTGGTCATTTGGACCTTCTTTTATTTATTTTTATTTTATTTTTGCTTTTATTTTTGAGTGGGCGGAGCTTCAACCAAGGCTGTTTTACCAGCTCATTCCACTATACATTTACAAATATCCATGTCCCACCCCGGATTCGAACCAAGGACTTTAGTACCGCAGTCCAGCTTCAACTGGACTGAGCTACAGGGACCGGAATTTCTGTCCGCCCATCTGTGTCCGGACGAAGTGTCCGCTTGTGTACATGAAAACTCGCGAACGTTTTCGAATTTTCCAATTCTATGTTTAGTAATAGGTGGACAATGGTCAAGAGACTAACTGATTAAATTTTGGTCATTTGGACCTTCTTTTATTTATTTTTATTTTATTTTTGCTTTTATCTTTGAGTGGGCGGAGCTTCAACCAAGGCTGTTTTACCAGCTCAATCCACTATACATTTACAAATATCCATGTCCCAACCCGGATCCGAACCAAGGATCTTTATTACCGCAGTCCAGCTTCAACTGGACTACGCCACAGGGGCCGGAATTTCCGTCCGTCCGTCTGTGTCCCTACCCCTAGAGGTCGCACGTTAATTGCTTGTTATTTGCGACATTTTCAATTAACTGCATGCGAAATTAGATGACCCACTAGTAGGCGAAGGACACTATCTAAGTATGTACACAACAATTTTTTTGGAATTCTCTGCATTTTCGTAGGCCGACAAAGAATTGCAGAGGATTTTTTTTTTATTTTCAAAATCTATTTTCTGATTCGTGATTTGTATGTTCAAGAAACCCCAGGTAAATTTTGTCGAATTTTTTTCGTACCACTATTTAGGAGTGCGCCCTTTGGTGGTAGGAATTTTAAAAAACACTTTTGCAAAATCAGAAAGGGCATACCCCGAAACCTATTCAAAACCGGGCCACTAGTGGTAACTCCTATGGTTGCTAGAAAAAATTAAAGAAGGAATGCAAACTTCACCACTTTTACCAGAGTTGCTCCCAAACGAAACATGTTGGACCATCGTTTCTTTTTTTTGGAAAAAGTGCTTGTTTTGATCCTTTCTTCCATCCAGTCTTTTTACATAATTATATGTAACACCCTGTATATACGACTGCGCGTAAATTAAGCATCACAGGAACCGAGGTGGGTTAACCGACCAACCCCTAGCTAGGGTTTTATGTAATTTAACGCCAATTTTCTTAAAATGACATATATTTTACATTACATTGACTGAGCAAGGGTTACCCGGAAGGACAATGCCATTAAACTCACGGAAGGAAAGTTTAAGCGAAAAAATTATCTTTGGAGTATTTGAGGTCGGCGTTGGTAAATGTGCCTGCTCTTTCTCCCATCGATTCGTTGGTCTCCGGCATCTTGATTGCAGTATTTGACTTTTTACTCGCGGTTTTTGAATATTTGCGGGTAGCACTGTTGTTGGACGTTGCGCCGGTGCTTACGTTCACTCTTTTTGGAGTGATGAGTAAGGGACACTAGGTCGGTGTGATACGTCCACGCTATAGGAGCGGTGGTAGTCCTACGCTATTAGCAGAGGTAGTGATTTTAGGATATACCGTAACGTAAATTTAAATGCGTGATTTATTTATGTACAATCATTTTTAATGAATGTAGTACCTTGACTTATAACAGCGTAAATTTTACTACTTATAACTTCGGCGTCGATTTTGTGACTTCCACTAAACAGAATTCAATATGTATGTAGCAAAAAAGAAGGTTCTAGAAAGTTCTCGAATCAGCACGTCACATTTCTTGGAAAGAACGCATCACATCAACTTTCATTAATTATTACCGGTGACTTGATGGCGCCTTGTTGTCGCTGTTTTTTATACTTATTGCATTTTGTTTCATTTCTTTAGCTTCCGCTGAATTCTCACTAAATTATTAAACAGTGCGATCAAATTTCAATTTGATTCACACCTCCATCGCTTAAAAAATTATTGCTCATCGGGAAAGGCATAGTTCAGGTTTACTTTCCGCTATTGCCAGGTTTTGGAGTAATTATTATCTACATTATGCTCATCTACATTTTTCTTTTTCTCTTCTTCCATTTCCGCTTCTTCATCCTCTTCAACAATTTTATTGTTTGCCACTTCCCAGTGTGTTCCTATTTCCTTCCCGGTCCTCTTTTTTCTCTGTTTTTCATGAGCCCTTTGCTCCCATCTTTCTTTATGTCTCATCTACATCTCGTACTTATGCTGCTCGGTCCTCTTTTCCTTCCGTTTGTATACCATTGTCACATTTTCCTTTCTTGTCTTTCCATTTTCTCAAGTTAGATACCTCTGCCAATAATTTATATATCGCTACTCCTTATTCTAACTCCCTACCCGTTTGTTTCTCCTTGCCCTCTACCACTATTATTCTTATCTCCTTCTGACTCTTTCGTTTCTTTCTGCTCTGCATTCTCTTCTTTTACTCCGTGCTCTTTCACTATTATACGAGTTCCTTCAGGCCTCACACCTCTCTATCTTCCTATTACTTTAATTCTCCTTCTCTTTTTTCCATACCAGCCTGTTTTCTACGAACCCTGTCCTCCTCCTCCCATGTCCAACCTTCTTTCTTTATTGTATTCTCACTGTTTCTTCCTTAATCTGTACATCCTTTTTGTACTCTTTCCTCGCTCTTCTCTTTTTTTTCGGGATATGACTGTTCCTCCTCTACTTCCCGTTCCTCATATTTTTCCCGCTAGTTTTCTTGTTCTTCATGTAATCCTTTCTGATCCCATTGCATCCATTACATCTACTTTTTCATACTCGCCATCTTCCCCTTTTTCTATTTCTACGTCCTATTTTTGTGAATGTTCATTAAATCTAGATGTCGACTAGCCAATCTCTATGGGGGTGGAACCTACCACGTCTGAGTCTGATCGAGTGCAAGCAATTAAGTCACTAATTTTCATCTTTTCCTTTTAGATGTACCGGAAACGCGTCTGGTGGGAATACCGACGAACGACATTGAAGAATTGAAGGATTCCGTCGCCGTCCGCTGCATGGTAAACTCGAACCCGCGAGCGTCGGTGACGTGGCGAAGAGAAGGGCAGAGCGTCGCGGCGAGCTTCCAGGAGCTGCTCCAATTCAGTCCGGCCGTAAGACAGCACGCCGGTTTGTACACGTGCCACGCCAGGAACCAGGCGGGCGAATCGCCGCCGTTACGCTTTCATCTCGATGTTAAATGTGAGTTATTAAACGCGTTGTTTTATTATAAATGGGGTTGAAATACAAATTGCGCAAAAACGCCGGCGCTATACTGAAACACACATCCATTTAATCCCGTATGAAGACCCGGGGAGCTCATTTATCAGATCCCTTATAACCTCCAGCGGCCGACATATCATATTGTACTACCAGTGCCACCTGGTGTACATACTTAGTTTTCTTATTTTTCAAACGGGCGTACGTGATTACATAAAGAACAGATAACGCCCGGCGCGTAAATCATCAGTATCCTTCCGGAAACTTCGACAATTATCGATTTTTTAGGTTGTAACTTTGAATTAACGGTTTAATAGGTGTCGGTTGTACGTATAGTGTATACAAATTATGGCTCTTGTTGCCGCGACGGTACATTAATAATAGAAAATTAAAGTTGAGGTTTTCGTTACTCATAAATTAAATTTTCGAATTTTATGGACCATTTTTGTTATTGACTATTTGACATGTTGATTTATAGGCGCTCAAATTAGATTACACAGTGCTCCAGGAATGTATATTATAAATAAATTAATTCGCCACGAATATGCGACGGGGCCGTAACAAACGTGCCGATCTGATTAGGGAAAATTACTAAGTTTAACTACCCCTTCATGTCAAATTTTCATAAAGATTATACAATGGCTTGGTGTAATTGCGTTATAAACGATTTTTGGCACGCGTTTCAATTACCAATTCCATTCGTCCCATTTTCTAATAAATACATTTTGAGAATCATCCACCTTTCACCGGGTTTCTACCAGTGCGTTTTCGTATTGTCTATTCCGGAATTAAGAACAGCGTTATTCACAAAGAAATCAATTTTCAGGTTCATTAGAACCTCTTCCCAGCTAGGTCTGTGACCTGAAGACCTAGATTTTTATCAATGAAAAGCGCCGTACGTGATCATGACTAGTTCTGGAATTACAGAGGATCCGCCCATCAAAGCTGTAACTGCCAGTTAAGTAGGGATAGTGAATACTCCCATCTAAATCGACACGAGATTCGATGAAATTTGTATGATGGTCTTTCATAAAAGGCTACGTCTTCCGGACAGGTGCTGGGTGAATTAGGAGCAGAAACACCTGCAGCATATTCCCTGATAGAAATGTATAAAAGAGAGTAGGGTTGGAGCATTGGCTTTGAGTCTTGAGCGTCAACGATAGCTTAGAAAAAGGTTTATGGATTATGTTCACCTGGTAGCCGGAACAAATTTTCAATATTTTTCTAACTGATACTCAGCAGCAACACTTTCGCATATCATATTCTCCTTATACCAAAGTTTAAACGAAAAAAAGTGTTGAGACGTTTCTCCTGAGCTTAGAAATGCACCTCCTGTTATCCTATGTTATCCTGGCAGCCAGCGAATATTCAAATTTTTTGATTCAGTGAATTGGTAGCAGAAATTTCACATTGTATTGTCGCGATTCATAAAGTTTAGACGATAATATAGCGTTGGAAAGCTTCCACTGAGTTTCTTTTATAGGTTATGTTTTCCTGGTAGCCAGAGCAAATTTACATCGTTTTTCTAATAGACATTTCTCCTCAAAGACGATATTCTAGTAGCCAGAAAAAAATGTTTTTATAACAAATTCTTCTGTGTGTAAACTGCGTCACGTAGACGTTATTTCAACCTGGACGCCGCCGGGGATAATGTTCAGACACACCACAGGGTGCATTTGCATGAATTAGAAGCAAAAATACCTCTTCGCATATTATATTCTCTGATACGACACTTTAAATGAGAATAATAAAGTTCTAGCTAGAGCATTTCTCTTGAACTTTGAGAAACTCTCTTCACAAATTATGTTTTCCTGGTACCCAGAAAAAATGTACCATATCTTTCGCATAACATATTCTCTTGATAGAGAAATTTAAAAGAAGGTATTGTTGTAACATTTCTTTTGAGCTTGGAAGGATAACTCCTTATATAATATTATGTTGTCCTGGCAGTCAGGGAAAATTTACATTTTCTAACCAGATAATCAGTGAAGGGAACAGAAACACTTCCTTGCACAACATATTCTTCTGACACAAAAATTTCTACGAAAATAACAGTGCAACATTTCTGTTAAAATGGTCCTCCCCATAGATTATGTTCTCCTGGTAGCCAGAAAAAATTTACATTTTCGTAAAAGATACTCAGTGTACATTACACCCTCCTGATACCAAAAGTGATGGAAAAATTGGTTCTCTTGACCTTAGCGAATGATCTTTTCATAGATTACGTTCTCCTGGCACTCAGAAAAAATTGAAACGTTTTTGTAACAGGTACCTCGTAATTTAAGAGCAGAGACACCTCCTCAAACAACATATTCTTTTGATACAAGAATTTTAACCAAATAATTTTGGGATACCTTTTGAGCTTAAAAGAGACATTCTCATAGATCATACTCTCCTGATAGAGAAGATTGCAACATTGTCCTAACAAATTCTCACCATCCTCACCATAGATTATGTTCTCCTGGTAGCCAGAGAAAATTTACAACACTTTCCTAACAGATACTCAGTGTACATTACACCGCCCTGATTCCAAAAGTGTTGGAAAAATTGTTCCCTTGACCTTAGAGAATGATCCTTTCATAGATTACGTCCTCCTGGCACTCAGGAAAAATTTAAACATTTTTGTGTCAGGTACTTCCGTTATTTAAGAGCAGACACCTCCTCAAACAACATATTCTTTTGATTCAAGAATTTTAACAAAATAATATTGGGATACCCTTTCAGCTTAAAAGAGACCACCTCATAGATCGTGCTCTCCTGATAGAGAAGATTTGCAACATTTTCCTAACAAATTCTCACCATCGTCCCCATAGATTATGTTCTCCTGGTAGCCAGAGGAAATTTACATTTTCCTAACAGGTAGGTACTCAGTGTATATTACACCGTCCTGATATCGAAAGTGTTGGAAAAATTGTTCCTCTTGACCTTAGAGAATGATCTTTCATGGATTACGTTCTCCTGACAGTCAGAAAAAATTTAAACATTTTTGTAACAGGTACCTCGTGATTTAAGAGCACAGACACCTCCTCAAACTACATATTCCTTTGGCTCAAGAATTTTAACAGAATAATTTAGGGATACCTTATGAGCTCAAAAGATACCTTCTCATTGATCATGCTCTCCTGATAGAGAAAATCTGAAACATTTTCCTAACAAATCCTCACCACCCTCCCCATAGATTATGTTCTCCTGGTAGCCAGAGAAAATTTACAACACTTTCCTAACAGATACTCCGTGTAAATTACACTGTCCTGATTCTAAAAGTGTTGGAAAAATTGTTCCCTTGACCTTAGAGAATCATCTTTCATGGATTACGTTTTCCCGGCAGTCAGAGAAAATTTAAACATTTTTGTTTCAGGCACCTCGTAATTTAAGAGCAGGGACACCTCCTCAAACATATTCTTTTGATATAAGAATTTTAACAAAATAATTTTGGGATACCTTTTGAGCTTAAAAGAGACATTCTCATAGATCATACTCTCCTGATAGGGAAGATTTGCAACATTGTCCTAACAAATTCTCACCATCCTCCCCATAGATTATGTTCTCCTCGTAGCCAGAGAAAATTTACACTTTCCTAACAGATACTCAGTGTACATTACACCGCCCTGATTCCAAAAGTGTTGGAAAAATTGTTCCCTTGACCTTAGAGAATGATCTTTTCATAGATTACGTCCTCCTGGCACTCAGGAAAAATTTTAACATTTTTGTGTCAGGTACTTCCGTTATTTAAGAGCAGACACCTCCTCAAACAACATATCCTTTTGATACAAGAATTTTAACAAAATCATTTTGGGATACCCTTTCAGCCTAAAAGACACCTTCTCATAGATCGTGCTCTCCTGATAGAGAAGATTTGCAACATTTTCTTAAAAAATCGTCACCATCCTCCCCATAGATTATGTTCTCCTGTACCAGAGAAAATTTACAACACCTTCCTAACAGATACTCAGAGTACATTACACTGTCCTGATACCAGAAGTGTTGGACAAATTGTTCCCTTGACCTTAGAGAATGATCTTTTAATAGGTTACGTTCTCCTGGCAGTCAGGAAAAATTTAAACATTTTTGTAACAGGTACTTCCGTGATTTAAGAGCAGACACCTCCTCAAACAACATTCTTTTGATACAAGAATTTTAACAACATAATTTTGGGATACCCTTTCAGCTTAAAAGAGACCTTCTCATAGATCGTGCTTTCCTGATAGAGATTTGCCACATTTTCCTAAAAAATCCTCACCATCCTCCCCATAGATTATGTTCTCCTGGTAGCCAGAGAAAATTTACAACACTTTCCTAACAGATATTCAGTGTACATTACACTGTCCTGATTCCAGGAGTGTTGGAGAAATTGTTCCCTTGACCTTAGCGAATGATCTTTTAATAGATTACGTTCTCCTGGCAGTCAGAGAAAATTTAAACATTCTTGTAACAGGTACTGCGTGATTTAAGAGCAGAGACACCTCCTCAAACGACATATTACTTTGATACAAGAATTTTAACAAAATAATTGTGAGCTTAAAAGAGACCTTCTCATAGATCATGCTCTCCTGATAGATAACTGTTGGAACTGCCAAAATTCTGGTCAACTCAATCGTATCCATTGTTATTGCTGCGGGAAACCAAACTTTACTTTATGTAATTGCCCAACATGTTCGGTAAACTAAAGGAGCCACTGAATTCGGATCGATCAGTGGGCTCTAACCAAATGAAGAGTACGATTTCATACTTAGAAAACTACAAAAATCAATTACCAACAAAATAAGTCCTATTTTCTAAATTGAGGAAAGGTAAATGTATTACGTCATTGGAAGTTAAACAGCGTATTGGCAAGTTCCAGTATCGAAAAAAGTAAGAGAATTTACGGACTCTTTCAAATTAAAAGAATGCCATTTGATTTTAGGAACAATCCAGCAACTTGGTAGCAATTATTAGACCTAATATTTGGAGCCTGGACATTATCATCGTTACATCAACATTCG